ATAATTTAAGCATCGAAACTAGATAGGTTGCACAGAAAACTGCTGCTCTGTACATGTTGAGCCAGACCTGTTATGGCTTTTCCTCTTATGAAATATTTGTGATTTATGTTGGCTATTAAGAAGTATTAAAAATCTCCAACTATGCAGGAGTGTGTTTATAGCTGGATGGAAGATCGAGAAGTTCATTTTCTGAAGGGCTCCTTTACAAAAAAAAGCTCTTCTTTACTTGACAGCTGTTTTGTGTGCTCTCTGATATGCTTCCAAAATATTTCAAGTTGTAGATTAGTTGCACTGTTCTAACTACTAAATGCAGGCTTTTCTAATCAACCATAGTTCTAATGCCTGAGGAATTTGCCCGATCCTCCGGTAAATGTTAAATCTTTGTTGGCAAAAGGCATCTGAAGAATAGCTCAGTAGTCTGAGGGCTAAAGACCCTACATGAAACAAAGATATTTTCATTTCTCCAGTGCTGCATATGCAAAAAATGCTGATATGCCATAGACTCTTTAGCCTTCTGCCATTTTTCTAACCCCTCTGTGCTGGAGAGGCAGGGCCGTGGCCATGGCCGTGGCCTTTACTCGTCCCTCCACGTCTGTTGCCGGTGGAATTCGGGGCCTGTCTGGCCAAGGAGGCTGGAGACGCCTCCCCACGATGGAGCCGGGCCGCCCTGCGGAGAGGGAGCTCTCGTCAGGTGTGCAGCGCACATTGGCTACGTCTACGCTCGTGGCTTCTTGGGCCAGAAATATGCAAATTGAGGATGAATACATTCTTATGAGTTTATATATAGCACTGATTCTTTGAACCATATTGTTTGATGAAAAATAATAACATTATTGTTTTAATGTAGCAAAAGAGCTCTTTACAAGGGGAGTTGAATGCGGCTGCCTTAAAGCCACAGAAAAATCCTGTACTTTGTAGTATTCACCAAGTTTTGCCTCTGAGCAAAGACACCTGTGTATAGAAACAAAAAGGCTATGTCTACACTCACGGCTTCTTGCGCAAGAAATATGCAAATGAGGCTAAGCATGAAATATCACTGAGCCTCATTTGCATATCTAATGAGCCGCCATTTTGGCCGAAGAGGCTCTTGCGCCAGAAGGAGCTGTCTACGCGGCCCCTTCTTGCGCCACAAAACCCCTCTTGCGCAACGCCGTTCTTCCTGAAATGTGATCGGCGTAGCGGCGTTGCGCAGGAGGGGTTTTGTGGTGCAAGAAGGGGCTGTGTAGACAGCTCCTCTTCCGCAAAATGGCGGCTCGTTAGGTATGCAAATGAGGCTCGGCGATATTCCACGCTTAGGCTCATTTGCATATTTCTGGTGCAAGAAGCTGCGAGTGTAGACAAAGCCATTGACTGCGCTACTAAGACACGCTTGGGAGAAAGAAAGTCTTTGTTAAAGAGTCGACTGGCTCCCCGCCTCCTTTGCACTCCCCCAGACTCAGGGAAAATCATCCACTCCAGCACCCTGCCCTGTGGCAGGACTCAGCCCATCCCTGACAGGGGCTGTCTGAGCGGCCGTAAAAACCTCCAAGGAGGGAGATTCCTCGGCCCCCTGGGTAATTTGTTCTGGAGTCTAGCTACCCCGACCGGAAGTTTTTTTAGTGTCCAGCCTTAGCCACCCTGGCTGCAATTCAAGCCCACTGCCTCTTGTCCTGGCCTCAGTAGTTAGGGAGAACAATTTATCACCCTCCTCCTTGAAACACCCTTCTCTGTGCTTGAAACTTGCTGTTATCAGATGCTCACTCGGTCTCTCGCGGGACTAAGCAAACTCGGTTGTTTCAATCGTCCTTCATCCGCCTTGGTTTTCTTTAATCCTTTAATCTCCCCCGAAGTGCGGTGCCCAGAACTGGACACAAAACTCCAGCTGAGGCCTTATCAGCTGAGTGGAAGAATCACTTCTTAAGAACATCAGAACGGCCAGATTGGATCTGGACAAAGGTCCCTTTAGCCCAGTGTCCTGTCTGCCCACAGTGGCCAATGCCAGGTGCCCCAGAGGGAGAGAACAGAACAGGGAATCTTCGCTCACTCCCAGCCTCTGACAAACAGAGCCTAG